ATGAATAGTTGCTAAAACGGAAACGGGGGAAGAGAGAGCATACCATCGAGCGCAACCTTGCTGCATGGCTAATAGTGGTATTTAGCCTTATTTAGGAGTCTTAAGGCATTTGGGGTTCCGCTTGGTTTGCGAGAATAGCGGAGCCCTGCGAATTCTACCTTCTGGGGGCTAAGGGTGGGATATTTGAAGTTGAACTTAGTGTAGGGTTGCTGGACGGTAAAGTCGTAGGGGAGGGTGGAGAGTGAGAGGGGTAGGGTAGAACGAGGCAGGAGAGGGGTAGGGGGAGAGAGAGAGAGAGAGAGAGAGAGAGAGAGAGAGAGAGAGAGGGATAATAAGTGAATATAAGAGAGTAAGAGAGAAAGAGAGTGATGCTAATGGGTGGTGAGGATAGAGAGAGAGAAAGAGAGGGGAGGAACCAGGGGAGGCCATTAAATGATCCCTATAATTACAGTTAGAGTCGGAGATTCCCATTACCGGCTCCCGCTGGATTACGAGTTGCAGGATTAACATTTACTGCCGCCGCGTAAAAATCTGCCGCAGCATCTTCTCCTGGACCGCACTCTGGATCTTCACCTCCGGAGGACCCTTTGTTTTGTCGATTCTTACGGTGCCTGTTCTTTTTCTTCTAGCGACCACCGATGGATCTGTGTATTTCGTATTTTTTTTTTTTTTTTTCCATCTATGACGTCACTTCCTGCTACAGAGAGCGTGGAACGGTATTTTTCAGTCGGTAATCTAAGGGGTGTGTTTTGTAATTAGGCAGTAAAAATTCTATATAGCAATTACTTTGCAGCGTATGAATTGTATGTATTTCCTTATTTCCTCCTTTGAAATCGCTTCTATCCGGGTTTCGGATGAACTCGTGTTAAAGGAACAGCAGGTGGGCCGTACCTATTTTAGCTGGTCTTGCGATGCGTGCCAGTCCTGAGCTGCCGGTTAGGCGCAAGTTCAAGGTGCTTGGTCTGATATAATTCTGTCCGGGGAATATGTGTATATGGGTAGCAATTGAAACGTAAATCGATCCTGGAATATATCGGGTGTGACGAATCGATAGGTGCTTACCACCAACTGCGTGAGCAAGTACTTAGGATGTGGATATATATATATATATGTAGTTTGGATTATTATTCTTATGCGTTTATTATATTTGGCTACCAGTCACAGAGAGTGACCCGCATGATGAGGCTTGACGCTCTGTTGTAAAGACGCCGTAATGAAGGGCCGGGAATGGAGTTCCGAAAAATTCGGCCCTTTCGTCGAACCATTCGTGCAGGCTGTACTTGCTCGACTTTTTTTTCTTAAACTAAGACCGGCGACCGGCCGGAACAGTCGAATATGACAGGTTTCGGGGGGCGAGGTTAGGACCAAATACGAAAATAATAATACACGATGGGCCCCATTTCGGGCCATTATTTTGAGTAAATGGCTTTTCGGCTCTGTGGTTATGTAATTAAATGTGACTCCTTTGGTCCGCTTCCCATATATGCTTCTGCCTACTACGCTGCGGGGCCATTATTTTGTCGCCGCCGCGTATCGTCATCACTGTGAACTCGTGTTTAGGAAATGAAAGTGGTACGACGAATTTTCACGGAAAAATTTGGGGCAGTGCGCGTGCGCGCTCTGGATCTTGAGATTTGCGCATTGATAAGATCAATTCACGAGGCACTGAATATAAAGGGTGTTTATTTTAGGACGTGAAAGAAAAAAAAAAATTTTTTTCTCCTTTATTTTCTTTATCGTCAATATTCATTTTTTGTCTTACTTTTTTTTTTAGTGGAATTTATCTGGATTACAATTTTTGTTTAGACTTACTGTTTGCCTGTAAACAACAATGTGTATGAATATTTTATTAAAGATTTTCAAATATATTTTATATTATCACGACACCCGAAATTCGAATAATTTAAAAAAATTTTTAAACTTCCAAAATAACGAGTATACTATTAATTCTACGTCCTTCACTACTTTTCTTTGTACGACAACGTCCACGATAAAAAAGGCAAATCCCTTCTCTGAGGTAAAACGCAGGGAATCGAATACCTGAAAAAAAAAAGAGATTGCAAAGCCTAAGATGATTTCTCCACGAGTGGGTGTTGATCCGATTGGCTAATACTTTCCATCCGATCCAATACACTCTTAATAATCCCCACAGTGCGTCAATAGGATTTGAATAAATTTGCAAGAAGACCCGCGAGCCTGGCGAATAGACTCGTTTCAACACGAGTTCTAAGAAGCTTCGAAATTGACAGATTCCAGCCGATCGATTCAAGGCAGAATATAAATTCGAGATAAAGGATGGGAAAAAAAATCACTATCGAACAATCCCCGAAAGACATTTTTGTCGTTATTTTTTCGAATCTTACCAAAAAAAAAAAAAAAAATCAAATAATCCGAAGTAAGAATAAAAATAATATTCCTTTTTTTTTTTTTTGTTATTTACGTAATACGAAATATGATTAATCGATCATCTATCGATATAAGCTTCGATCAAATGACATCCCTCCACCCCATTAAGCTTTGATAACGTCTACAGAACATCACGTGGTATCCCGTTGCCAGGACAAACGCTGGATCATTCAATTTGTCCGAATTGAAAAAAACTCTCATTTTGAAAAAATTCACCCACTCGTGTTCGCTGGTACAACTGGATCCTTATAATCGTCGAATGTTCTTTTTCAAAATACTTTTTCAAAAACAGACGAAAGATCGAGCGTAAAATCCTTTCACGTTATCGAGCATCGATTCCAGGGGATTCCCCCTTATTCATCCTTTGCCCGATCAATGTAATCCTCTTCGTTTCTCCTTTTCTCATCGGCAACGCTCCGTCTCTCTCTCTCTCTCTCTCTCTCTCTCTCTGATTCGTATAAATCCTCGTAAACTTCGACTCTTTAATATTCCTATTTCCCCTGCACTGTCTCCTATTCTATTTCTGCACTGTCTTTATATTCCTATTTCCCCTGCACTGTCGGTCCCCACAGACGTATCACGTGTTTCCAGACAATCGTCTGGGACCACGTTAATACGCAACCGTATAGCACAATAAAAGTTTAGAGATCATTCAAAATAATTCCTTTGATAATTCACGTTCGTTAACAGCAAATTCAGGAGTACCAACTACTTCCGTCTCTCACTCGATGTCAAGCTGTACTTGCTTAATTTCCCTAACATACCTTGTCATATATATATATATATATTCCTCCAAGTCTAAACTCTCATAGCCCAGATCACAGTACCCAAAGCGCTAAAGAATCCGAGATAGTTACGCTATATAGATTTTCATGTTCAATTAATAATTTTTTTTCCCTCAAAATTATTCAATCGGTTACATTTTGATTTATTCCCAGTATTTTCATTGCTCCACGAAATTGTACGATTCCAGCGTGCTCGAATTACTTTTGGCACGTGTATTGAGGTGAAATCGAAATTCCGTACCGTGGGGGACGGCCGTTGTACCGTACACGATACCACGGAATTACTAACAGCGTAGTGGGAAATGAAATGATTCTAGCGTGGCATATTGGTTCCACGTGAATTCCACGAGGGGTTGAGGGGACGATTGTTGAATTCTCGGAATTCAGAATTTCCAGGAAGCGCCGTGTGCGCGAGAGAGACAGGAGCCTACAGTGCACCCGTTCGCCTCTAGGTTAAGCCACAGGACGAGTTACGCGTCAAAGAAGAGAGTTACTCTCAAAGGAGAAAAAGCAATCGGCTTGAAACCCACGCTGGAGTTACTACGAATGATATATAGGCGCCATTACGTGGTTTGTATTGCTCGTGAAACTGCTCCGTGTGAATGCCGTTCTAATCATGATTAATCACGTATTGATGTGCGCCCCGTGTCTCGGTAGTTGTGAATTATTAAGGCATCCATCTCAGCACGTCGATTCCGTAGTACTAGGGAGGTAAGACGCGTACCAACCTTATACGTAAGCCATACAGGTACATGCGTGAGATTGCGGTAAGGGAAAAAAAATATATTTTCTAAATCAACGTATCTTCTCCGATAATACAATTTTAAAAAATTCGCGCCTTTTTTTACCCCGCAAGCGCATGCGCATTAAATTTCACAACACAGTGGCGTAGGGCTCCGCTAGGAATCCCATGTGTCTTATAGGACGTTTGACCCTAGTGCAATTACATTGTAACCACTGCCAACTTTAGGATTCGAAAAACTAGACTCTTGTCAATACATCGATGTACCTCGAGATGCATTGTAACCTGACATACCAAAGGACGTATATAATACAAGGTAAGGTTGGGTTACCTGAAATCCGCTAGTCGGACACAATTTTATTCGTCTTTTTCTATTCGTTATTTCTAGATTGGATATATACGTACTGTACAATACTGTATAGTACGAGCATATGAAAACTGTATGTACTATATATCGACGTCATATTGATGTTTGGTGCTTGTATGGTATATATAGGTATATGGGAAATGAATTCGACTGTGTTATCGGTTTCCATGAGAATATTCGCACGACGAGGAACGTCAAGAAAGATAATAGGAAAAATTATGTAAATTGTCGGGATTGGGACGAGGGGTAGGAAAAAAAAGGGCAAAAGAAGTGAATCTGGTATTCCGACATGTCAGGAGCTTCTTTTAATATTATTCATAGCCAGGTTCGGGCCCGTTGGGTTCCTGCTCGTTAAACCAAATACCTGGCGTCACACCAAATTAAAAACTCATCTAAATGCGAACGAAATGACTGGTCCACCCGATGATAATAAAAGTTTTAAATAAATAAAGACACGTTTGCCGCGGCCGTAATGACAAGATTGCCATGAATTAAACAAAGGCGAGCAGACAATGTTATTATGGGAACGTTAAAATAATGCCGGGTTGCTTCTTGATACCTTGGTTGGTCGGTATAGCAATTTTGTACGCTGATGACTTATACCTGCTTGCATTGGGATCGGGTGTCTTTTGGAAATGGAGTTTTGGATTTTTTATAATTTTTTTTTTCTCACTTTTGTAATCATATCGATCGAGGGATTTAGTGTGGATGTTATTTGTATAAATCGGAAATTTTTGCGGGTATCATTTTTTTTATTTTGAAAATTTTTTTTGCTCACAATTTTTTTTCACGGATTCGCTGATCTGAGTTTAGGTTTATGTGGAGGTTAGCGGGATTGGTCTCTTACTTGAATAATTGGTAGGCGTCAGCAGGTAGCTGGGATGTCCCTTCGTGCAGTCTATTGCTCTAAGAGGTTGGAATGAAGGTTGGGCACGAATCATCATCCCTGGGCAGCCATTACGAAATTAAAGGACCTTTGTCTAGGTAAAAACCACTTGGGTCAGCTTGTCGCGGTTGGCACCGTAGGTTAACCACTGAACCGTTAGGGACGGACAATACGTTCAGTTCTAGAACAGAGTACGTGGATTTTTTTTTGAAAATTGAGATACGTTAAATAGACTATGGGTAAAAAGAAAATTTGATAAAAGTACAAAATGTAATTATTTCCAAAATTTCAACACATTTAGCACCCAGCCAAGAATTTCTGTATTATTATCTGGGTTATAAACCAAATTTGAAAATGAATTTTTTTTGTAATTTTCAAAAAAATCCTAAAATTCTCCAAACACCCAAACTCTCGTACGCGGGGATAATCCAAAAGAAAAATGTGCGCCATCTACAATTTTCTTAAAGGAGGCACGAAGACGGATCCAAATTAAATACCAATTTCTTTCGGATGTCGACGTAATAGAGGGAAGAACGAAGGAAGCGCGTCATTTCATCCCCATTCGAGGACAATTTGTAGCCCCCGAATGCAATTTCGTAGTAGCAGATGTCAGTGTTCTCCCTTTTCCTTAAGAACTGTCACCAGGTGCTAATAAAGAATCCGTACCATTCTTTAATTTGCGAAGCCTAAGATATCTGACAGACGGTTCTAAAGGTTGACGGAAGGAAAAAAAATATTTAATGAAAAAAAAAAGAAAAAAAAATTACCCCCCCCCCATAATCATCAATTCGCATACAAAATCTTTTTTCCTTTCAGATCTGTACGAGACATTTAAATGAGAAAAAAAAATTTTGCAAAACCTAATCCAAATACAACTTCTGCACTCCGATTAACACCACCGGTACAATTGGCGCTGCTTGCCTCTTGTCATAGCGTAAACATATTGGAATTGGTTCGGTTCGATATCGTTCCAGTAACTAAGAATCCAATCGTGTGAATGGCAGGTACCTACAATCGTAGAGATACGTCACTGGCCGAGCGAAGGGATCTATCGTTTTACAAAGAGGCAATCAGTCAATGTTGGATCGTGACATTGTGCACCGGCAACGTCAAAGAGCAACGAGATCGGCAGTCGTACGCCGATTGTTCGCTAGTGTAACGAATCAGGAATTGTATCGTATTGAATCGATTGCAACGAGTCGAGAACAGAATTTCCCAATGCTTGCAGCAGTTCCGGAGTAATTGGAAGAGGATATCATTCTCTTTGTTCCTCCTTCTTCCTCTTTCACTTAGTTACCGGTGCTTCATGCCTCCTTCTTCCATCCTCTGTCTTCCTGTAACGACTGCTCCGTATGGGACATAAAATGAAATACGAAAAATTATTAAAAATTTATATAATACCGATAGTAGGGTGAGTCAGTAAAAAGAAAATATGTAACAAACCTGAATAATTGGATTATAAATTAAAAAAAAAATATTAAATAATTTTGAATAATTGTTAGCAATTAAAATAATCAAGATTTGGATATTTTTTCTCGTTATTATCCCTACGCCGTTTTGGCTCTCTATACCTGTATATATATATAACAGTACTGTATATACCTGTTATACCTAATACCGAGAATGAGGTTAAACAAGAAAATAATTGCAATTTAATAATAGATTAAAATGATGAAGCGATTCTCGTGAAGATTGTTAAAGGATGTTCAAGGGGTAGTTACTTGGCTGAGCCAAAGAGGTTAGTAAAGAGTCTGAGCGAGATCAGCAGAGAGAGTACTCTGATTTATGTGAAGGACAAGGTGTAAGGAGGATAAAAGGTCAAGGGTCGATAGGGCGGAAAGTGAATCAAGGGAGGTCCAGCAGGGGGAGACATTGTTTCGGATGTAAAAGTTTAAGGGAAGATTACTGGAAGGTCAGGAAAGTTCAGGTTACGATTAGTAGGTGATATCGGGTTGGTAAGCCAGAGTCGGGTTGGGTTAGGTCGGTATGAGACCTCTTATTGTTATACGCCGGTCAGACCTCTAGATATATTTTGTGAAACGAGATAACCGCTTCAGATTGCACCAGGTAGATAGCTGGCTGACTGGCTAGATAGGTTGGTAGGTTGGTAGGTAGGTGTAGGGAGATATCTAGTTGAATTATTGATAATGGATATATCGATTGGTAAAAGTGAAGGTAGGAAGGGCACAGCGTGCCTGACCTACCTATAACTACCCAGTCAGGTATTTCATAGGAAATACCTTTGATTTGGTTCGTTCTTCTTTTCCAATTTAGTCTGGAAACATCGTGAGAAATCGCCGTTGAAATAGCACAGTGTATATATATACCGAATGGATCCTTAGTGAGTATACGGTGGTATCTGAGAAACCGACAGGAGGTCGAGATTTCGAGAGATTGCTAAAACGTGGAGAGTGCAGAGCATCGGGGCTGAAGATCCTGATAAAAAAGGAACAGCTGGATGCTAGAACCAATAAGGGTTGCTAAACCCACTGAGAAACCATCCCTTAAGACCTTCCCCTTTCGCCATTTCAAACATTCAATCTACAATGGTAGTGGCCATTGCCAAGGGGAAAGTGAAATTCTTAAATAGACAGAGGGTATACATTTGATGATATCTACGCCTATGGGCACTATCAATCTAAAAAAAAAAAAATTAGTGAATCTAACCAAGGCAAAGTATCCGTTTTTGGTGATTACAATTTATACGGTAGATTTACGTACTTCGGTGTTCAAGTATCAATCAGCTATCAGCTTCCTGAAGAAAAGTTGTCACTAGATGGAATCCGACGGGAGACGAATCCTCGCGATTTGTCCTTCCCGAGGTGGAATCTGTCCAAGGGTGCAGAGTCGAATTCCAAACCGAGTCGTCGAGTCGGAGTGTATTGTGGCGAGATATATTTAGGACGGATGCTGAGAAGGAATCTCCCTGAAGTAGTCCGTATCGTAGAGCGTACCAGTGCCATCAGTGCTACCGGTAGAAGAGGCAAGATAAAGTATACCTGAGGGAAGAAAAAAGAGGTTTTGATAAAAGAAGAAAAGGAAAAAACAAAAAGGAAAGCTAAAGAGGTAGAGAGACGTCGGGGTAAAGAAATCGGATAAACCGATCGGATGACGATGAGATTCGCAGGAAAACGTCGAGACACCCATGAAGATCGAAGGGGCAGATTCGCGTGTGAACAACACTTAAATCGTCGTGGAAGTCGCGCGCTCGTTAGGATCCCAAAGCCCGGTGGATTTCATTCGCAAACGAATGAATATTTATCAGCTGTAGTCATTAAATCAGCGAGCGTGTCGCCGTTGAGTTTCTTAAAATTTTCAAAAGTTACGCTCCTTAGCATAAACGCCGACGTAGCAAGGTGCGAATCCGTCCTCGATTTTAGCATTTATCGTTCGTGCCATTAAATATCAAGGGATTGAGGCAGCTGCCATCGATAAAACTAACGCAACGTATATTCGAAATGTCATACGACATATTTCATGCACTACTTACAGGTACCACTGTTGAAACACGTCAAAGCGCCTGCTTCGTCAGCTCGATATGACCTCACACTGCAGTCACGTATTAAAGTATCCTTTGAAACATTCTATTCCCCTTGTACCTGCAGGACAGGTGGTTTCGTATTAAATCCAAAGGACCGATCAGTATGCGAGATCAAATTCCACGGCGTGACTCTATCGCAAGACTTTCATCGCGAACGCAGCGCCGTGCTCGGTCGGTAAGTTAGGTAGTTCGGTAGGTAAACAAGTTGTAGTCGAACTAACCAATAACTGTCACGAGTCGGCCCGTGGAGTTCGAAGCGACGAATACTGAAGGGAATTTTGTATGACGTAAAATTAAGGTACAGTCGGATGAGAATCTACACACTCGGTATAAGAATAACCAATGCAGTGACAGTGACAAAGTGATACGACTCGCAGTCATAAGGGCTGACGAAGTTTATTGCGTTCAGGGACAGCAGTGGCCATGGGTAATCTTTATTGTCAGAAGGACGCTATGCAACTGCAAGCAACGTATTCCCGTTCTATCAACCGATACACGAGCTACTCATCCGAACTGGGTTGGGCTAGGTAAGCTTGACCATTGGTACTGGTACTAGTACCAGTTCCTGGTACTCCTTACTAAAGAATACATAGACGCCCCACTGCGAAACTCCTGGTGGACATGACTTTTTCAGTTCTTTTAGTTATACCTCATACCTCTAATCTCACTGCACTGTACGTTGTTCCAGTATCCACTCTACCACAGCCAGCGATTCTGTAACGTCCTGACGGGCGTATTCGTTCCTGAAGAAGAAAGCACCCGGGTCTCACCAGGACTCCAGGGAGCCGCGCTGAAACGTGGGTGCTTTTCGAGAAGCGACTCGCACGGCATTTGTATACGAGTCTCAAGGATAATCCCAACGTGGGCGTTGCTGAGTTCCCTGTGCGCCTTGAGAAAACGACACGACGGATGGTGCGTGTTATTATTCGACATTGCTGCATTGCCGTCTCGCTGCGTTGCTGCTCTCGGCATTTTACACGTAAGACGTATGCACGTGGCTTTCAGAGATACATTGGCGAGTGAGCTTATGACGTAATTTAGTTTAGTTGATTTTTAGTTATTTCTTACCTGCCGCTTCTTTTTATCTTTCTGACATCTGGAACGAATTGATGTACTGTATATAGTTCGCTCGAGGAATGTGCTTGCTCGCAAGGTTTACCAAGAAATATTGTAGTTGCACAATTATTTTAAGAAAAACTTAGTCAACTGATGAGTCTACTCGTTAGCAGTAGGTCAGCTTGTAATACAGAATTTGCTGTATCGGTCATTTTAGTTGTTAATATTGTTTCGTAATAGGATACGTGGAATCGATATATCGAAAATATTTATTGAGAATTTTAACGACGGTGTTAAAATTGAAAAGTGATTGTTGAGCAATTATTCAGAATTATTTAATTTTTTTGTTTGGCTGCTAGCGGATGCAGCAAGATTCAACAGTCATGTATAAATGATTTTGTGGTAAAAATGGAATTTTTTAAAATGCTCAAAATAGATTTATTAAGCGATTGGGTGGTATTGAATTGAAAAGAAAATGGCTATGGTATTTTTTGTTTCTTTCGATCATGAAGAAATGCATTGAATCTCGGGACACGTGATTTTGTGCGGCGTCGACGAATAGAATCCGCACTTAGGTATTCGTAGACGTGGGTTATGTGGATATATGTATATATATAGACGCTGGGCGTCGCGGCGAGGCGTCTGACATTGTTTTGTAAATACACCGAGCAAAGTTTGCCGGTTTCTCGCCTCCTTTACTTTTGACTTTATTTTTATTTTACACGACGTCGCGAGTTTCCCGCTGCGAATGAACGGCGTCGCGACGCTCTCATTGAATTTACGCTACATGCCAACGCGAAAACTTATCTCGTGAATATATGGTTATGATTATAAGCAAGGTTTATGTTATTTCTCTTTGAGAAGGGCATGACGGGATAGGTCTTCCAGTGTTGCATTTTTAAAATTTTTTTTTTTTTTTTTTCGACTACTCATTTTTACCGGTAATGAAGCCATTAGTCCCACTTCCTCCGCGGTGGTAAAAATTCTTTTTCGGAAGAGCGAACTTAATTTTTTCTTACAAAGAGAAACTCGGTGCGCCACAAGAACTGGGGCAGTTGGCACTACTGAAATAGCACATTAATTTCTTAGGGACTTTTCTCTCTTGCATTTTTCTTAGACACCTACGAGTTGGTATTTCCCGTGTATTTTAACGCGTATAAAGGAAAACCTGACAAAGTTTTGTCACGTACTGTATCAAATAATTATAAAAATATATTCATAAGAATCCATAAAAAATATTGTAATTCCAGCCAATTTTGGATTCTGTAATTATTTACACGTATAAAATTTATGTTAATTCATTACTGTCTCAATTCCTCACTCCAACGTACTCGTTACGTTAAATTTCTATTAATTGAGTTAATTTCAAAATTAAATGTCATTATTTTTTTTTCTACATTTATCAGTCTCTATCGGAATCATTTATTTAGGTTTACTGTTAGTTAAAAATATTTTAAAATAATTCTGCTAGATGCGATTATGTTATAGGATTGTAAAAATAATCGGATTCCATAACAATGTAAACCATGTAACCATAATGTACAGGGTGACAACCTACTTGGATCGTCTTACTCGACTGATATATTTATGGCTATAGCCTTTTAATGGCGGTCAAAGTGGGTCCTCGTTGTCGCGAGCTATCGACTGGACACGATGACAGATTCTTCCTTTCACTCTTTCCCTCTATTTTTTTCCCCCTCATTGGAAGCGTCAATTGGCTCGTTAGCTCGAAGCTACGAGCGTTTAATACACGTTCGACATCATAAAACGTTTACGGCTTTATTCACTTTTATATCGAGAATCCAGAGGAAGGGGTTGCAATGAAACCGGTAAACGACAAATTGATCGTCTCCGTTTGATAAAATTACAACTTCCTTTTTTTCCCCAGATTCAATCTTCGTCCGGTGGATTCGAGCAAATACGAATTACGTTAATAAACGAATTTTATATGAAAAATCGTCTGTGGGAATCCCTTTTCATTTTTCTTAAAAAATTAATTTTCAATGTATTTCGTAGTCTGAAAAAGATTTATTGAAATTTAGTAAAAAATGGAGAATGAAAATTTTTTAGGATAATTAGGTAATAAAGAAAAAAGTTACAGCCAAGATTGTTTCTTGTATTCCAGACTGTTTCTATGAAGCAAAGCATGTCTAATTTTTGGTCTGCATTACAGTGAGCTGCTGCTGTAAGACACCGAGCCATCTGGTTACGAATAGACAGGCGGCCAGTAGAAGCAAGACGGTTGAAGCCTGAAAGGAAAGAAGATGCTGTAACAAAAAAGAAGAACATTACGCGAGATCGCTCAAATCGTCTGCATTCTTCTGGCAAGATCAGAGTAAAAGATCTGAGAAGCAGAGACCGATGCTGAAGAAATTTCAGTCCCGGTATCTCTTACTTATACATAACAGGAACAGCCATTTTTATGACTTCTAATTACTATTGCAGTGCAACCAGTACAACCAGTACCAGCTAATGAATTAGGGATGTAGAATTTGTAGAATACCTTAGGCAATAGCATAAAGAAATGATTATACATTTTTCTATTAATATACATTTCCAAGTAACTGTAATTATTTATATCAATGATAAAAAAGCGTTATAAAATTCTAATTGTATATCTAAATAACTTTAAATGCTATGGAATTTAGAATCCGATGCATTAAATCTAAGTATATTCAAAGTGTCGAAGCAAATCTTAAAAAAAAAAGAAAATTTTGATTTATTCGAAGGTTCACGGTGGCCGTCATCCGTCAATGACTCTACTGTCATGAACATTAATCCGATGACACGTCAGTCGCGGCCTCCTTTAACTAAATCATCTGTCAGTAGTGCGCTGTCAACTTATGCATTCTATGAGTATGACTATAGCTTAAAAATTTCCATAGGCACTAAAACTGTCATTGTACAGTCAGGTGTTCCTTTCATTGACAGTATAAAATCTAATCTCTTTTGGATGTCATTATTGGCTTAGAGTTCCGATATTACATTACTATAGGGTGATACATCTTGGTCATGTATGTTATAACGGGATCCTGATACCTTGGACTCCCATAAGGTTCCCATATGATGTGTATGGGATGGTAGGACGTTGAAAAATTAGAATGAAAATTTTTCTTTGCGAATGACGTATTCTAGAAACTCAAGATGCCAGCTCTGTTCCTCAGTCGAGTATTCATGCGCGTTCCAGGTTGAGCGTAGGATGGAAAATGCGGAAGGTCAGGTGGTTTGTTCTTGGGCCATCATAAATCCCACACCTACGCTTAGGTAAATCCGCCATTATTCCCATGGTGGATGAAACTGCTTAAGCCATGTTGACTTTACGGTACTTATTGACTTTTATATTTACATTGAGGATCGGTGCACCAATTGGCGAGTTGCAATCCACTGGATAAGATTTATTATAGCTGCATCCAATTTGTGCATTGTGTTCATTGGTTTGATTCGTTGCGGTGATGTCAGCAGTTACGGACTCCTTATAATGATTCCCATGAATTCATGACAGCTGATAATAGTAATTCTCTTCTTTTCCAATCAGCCTGCAAAGAGTTGTAATTATGATGATTAACCAGCGCCAACTGTACCCGCACGCATAATCAAGCAAGTTGTTCGTCATCACGATGAAAGATAAGAAGACTCAGGATCCCATAACTCGTAATAAGGGATTCTCATCGTATATTCGACGTTTATTCAATGTGCATTTGAAAAAGTATTAACGTAACTAAGAAAATTTATCGTAAGATACATTTGAAGAATGTGGATTTCAGAATCCTTATCAGGTTTAAAATCACAGAATAGATAGTTTTTAAAAAAAATGTATCAAATAAATCATTCAAGAGATAATTATTGTCTCGAAAATTTCATTAGTCTCGTTCCTTTCAAAATTTCCTAAAATCTGATATTACCGTATAAAATGAGCCTTATATATGTATATACATGTGTATAATGCAGATACGAAATTCAAGTAGTCCCATAAAAAATCCTGATCGAATCTCGATGGTCCGGCCAAGCATGGAGAATCCAGTGGAGGAAGTGCGCCAGAAGATTCGTTGGCGCGTACAAATTTCCCATAGGCCAGTCCCATGACACTAAACGGTAGCTACTGTGTTACATGTTCAAAGTACCCCACCAGAGTCCCATTGTAAGTCTATGGTATACAGTGGTTAAGGTACACACAGTGACTATAGGAAGAATCTCTGTAAGAAGGAAAGAAGAAGACACGTTAGAACACATTGGATACCAAAGTACACCAAAGCCGCTTCGTCTACAAGAACCGTCTGCATACCGACCCACCATAGGAATCTTTATTAGTGTCAAGGGGTCCCACTTTGAAAAATGTCCCTGCCTCTAACCAAAATGTCTCCCCGGCTCCCACCCGTTTCGAGAACCCGAGTGACATCTGCATACCCTGGACGAATAGACACCCGGACTCACTTTATTTCCTTCTTGCTTGCCGTTTCCTTCTCCCTCTCTTTCGTATGCCTTGGATTCTCCAATGTTTCTCTCTCTCTTTCGCTTCAGTCAATGTATCCATCTCCTTTACTAGCTCCCGTAGGTATGGTTACAAAGCCTCACCACAGGTTAATAATTGCTTGGCATTGTGCGCGTGAGATATCGCAATCATCTGGACGAGCGACGAACGCCACAGGTAGCTCTTTCCTTGCTTTCTTGCCTTTTCTACTTCTTCTATTCCTTATTCTTTATTTCTTCACTCTCTCTCGCGGTCACTCGCTTGGTTAGTTTCTTGTTTGCTTGTATCCTCACTCTTTTGATTATGTGCTCGATGATCGTCTGCATGTAATATTTTCGTGTCTTCCCGCTGTCGTTTTGGCATTGACGGACTGGCCTCCTTGCGGTCGTTTCGTGAAGCTTTGTCTTGGGGCTGTGCGCATGCGCGTCGATGTCATTGCCACATATGGTGAAACGGCAGCGTCTCGTAACCTTTGACGATGGGATTAACGGGAAATCATTATTCTTAAGTGAGTTATTAATTGCTTCATCTTTTTGAGATTCCTTGGGATTATTACTTTTGTGCAAGTCTGTGGGATACGTGTTACTTTTCTCAAAGGGTAAGCTGGTAGCTCCAACGTCTTACGTAGAGCAGTCGTTTCGTTCGCGAGGTAGAAAACGAACGGGAAGAAGAAATCGGAAAAGGCGAATAGCAGTGTTCCTAATTTATCAAACGAAAACAACTGACTGATCGCGTGACAATTAAACACTTCTCGTAATAAAAAGGGTCTACATGCTTCCGCTTGGGAATTCACCGTTTTCGTTCTTAGGAAACGTAACAGTGACAGGTACCGTAACGTCCATTTTTTTTTTCTATGTCCAACGTCCTCTGTTCCCATACACCCTTTGTTCTTGTACGTTAATTGCATTTCTCTTTAATATATCAAATGAGGATAATTGGCACAAAATTACTAGGGTAACACGACAATCTTGATCAGTCTGTTCATTATATTAAAAATTCCCATAAAAATGTCAAACAATTTCATAAATACTGCAAACAAGAATTGCTCTGCCGGGTTCCCACACAAAATGTATACTTTATATTAATACCTGTTACGGGTGATCGACGTCTCGAGGATCTAGAAAGTACCCATTCCTTTTTTTTTTAGTAGTACCTGTATATACGCATACACATAAATACATATATATTTGATATTTGTCCCGAGAGATATAGGAATTTTCACGGGAATGTCACAAGGACTAATCCCGTTCAGTGACTTGCGACATATTTGCGCCAGCCAGGATGTTCCCTACGGATGACGGAGATTAGCCCTGGACGCGTCAACCATAAGAGGGGATGGTCCTTCTGATTTACGTCGTTATTGCTTCTTGACACTAAGTCGCATTACGGGACAGGACTCAAAATCCGAGAAACTCGTTTTGTTCTATTCCAGTAGAGCAGGTGGATCGTCGAAAGCATTAAAGATATTTCAAGTATTTTTTTTTCAAGTCCGAAGAGATAAAGGTCATTCCAAAGATGAATCCAAAGATGAAAGAATAAAAAAAAATGTGAAATTTCGTTTTTTAAATCATTAACAGATTTTTATTCGTATAATCGATCTCTGTCTGTTACAGGTACTGCATTTTTTACCCGATACAAATGATTGAGCAATTCCGATGCGTGATCGAATCCAGTGGGAAATTCGTAATGCAGACTAGAACAGAACAGAGTGAAGCATTGTGCGAACCTGGCGCGCCATGTCGAAGATCTCAAGGTACAGATAGAAAATGAGTTGGCGCAAATTGTTGCCGATCAAAGATGCCGGCCGTTCTACGACGCTCTCGCCATAAAGACGCCTGTGTATGTACACAAACATGTTTCCCGATTGAGTATCCATGTAGTGTGTAATATCCGTAGAATTAATCTGGCGTATAACGGGTGCGCAGATTTCACCGAATCAAAATGGGATGGATGGTACCAAGGTAACAAATATTCGCAAATGCTCCTGAGGGATGCTGATAACGAATAATTTTTTTTTGGAAATTTTGGAATTATAAAATTTTTAATACCTTTCAAGAAACGATCTTTCAATTTCAGTCGATGCTTGTAAATCCACCTTTATATTCTCATATATATATATATTCTCGGTATATATATACCGCCCTGCCTCAAGATTTTTCACAGTTTACAGACAATGCAGATACGAACGCGCATCGTGCTAATAAGCGTGGAAAAAATTGAATCAAGCGCGAAGGTTATCACCTCCACCGATATTAGATATCGATGCACGTCCCCGATATTTAATTTTTATTTTTCTTCCTGGAACAAGGTAAAATCGTGACGGGTATAACAGCTAATGCAAAAATCATCCCATGCGCTCAGCAACCAGCACAGAAAATTATTTGACTGGAGCGTCACGCTCTGGTCTACTCCGGACTCGTCTTGTTCTGCGTCCCATGTTAATCTTCAATCTTCCTCACTCCCATACACAACAGGTCGATCCTTCGACTAATCCTTCCGATCCACCGTTTCTTTCCGCTCATCCTTCATTCCCTTTTGTTTCGCTTGATCCACAGTCGCGGCTCGCCGATTATTCCCTGGAACGAACCTACGTTCCTTAATGCGTTCCATGATAACTTCCTGGTATATATGAGTTAAGTATCAACATGCATAAGTATGATTTTTTGTTTCTTCTAATCGTTCGCTAATAACAGCGTAATAATAATAACAAATTAATTATCCAGAAATTACATTTAACAATTCAGGTTCTCAATTCGCACTGCAAACAGCCGGATAGCAGCCAGTTTTACTTTTGAATCTGAAGTCGTTGCTCCGATTGATAAAGTATATAAAAGAAAAGTAGAAGAAGAAGACAAATGGAGGACTCCTGCGGAACGAAACTCTACCGAATGCTGCAGGTCTGAATAAAATAAATAAAGTTGTACGGTGGGAGCACGACGCGTCACGCTCTGACGCGCTTTGACCGGGGCATCGAATCCCAAGTTCACCGTCTTCGTGTCTGGGTACTTTAACAATAAATACATAGAGAGTAATCGGGCAGGTTGGTACTGGACGTGGAAGCAAGGCAGACCAAGCACCACCACCATCATCGAGGCTGTTCGTGCCCATGCCACGGCGGTGCCCTGCAGGACGTGCCCCAGATCCGGGTCTAGGTCGCCGATCATCTTACCTAAGAAAAATTGCGCACGCCTCGCAGAACCTAAAGGATAAATACCGGGTGCGCCGATCCGAAAGTATCTCCACCGAAGTAAAATATGCATCGGACCAGCGTTATGTAGGGTTATGTTATTTTTTTTCATAGTTCTCTATAGCAGTACTTTTATTGATCTTTTTTTTTCTTGCTGATTAGAAAAGTTCTAAACGAGCCATTAAGAATTTTATTGTTCTTGAAATCATGTTTAACCTACTTTTTCTTTACTTCTTCCTTTCAAGGAAGCGATTGTGTCAATACACTTGCTCGTATCGTTTCCTTTCTTTTTTACCTATATTTCCTAAGCTGTGTCCAATCACTGTACAAACTTCACGAATGAGCGTTACTGTCGTTGGAGCTGTGAGTGAGTCTTTTCATTTTTGATAGTCCTACGTTCACTCCGTGTAGGAGAATGGGTGCTGATTTAACATGGTAACTTGATATTGCCAATGTTAAAGCAGGCGCCAACTTTGTGCACTCTTGGATAAATGCAGTTGCTGCTATTTGTGAGACTAGAAGGAAAAAAGTGTGACGGTCCTGACGCAAGATTTTTTCTGAAACTTTTTTTATCTCTAATGGCTATCGTCTTCGAGCGACGAAATTTTTTGTGCAAATCTTTGACAAGTATATTTTTTCGCTACGTATTTAAACGTACACTGTGACGTGTGGAAAGTATTTTTTTTTTTTTTAAATTTTGCCTTACCCTTTACTGACGTAATTTCTATTTTTAATCCAGACACAAATATGTATGTACTTGCAATCTTATCAGTGGAATTTCGTCAAAGTCTCTGCTATCTTCTTTACACTTTCACACGTCGTAACCATCGTGGGTTATTGTATGCATTTTCAGTGATAGCGATTTTTTGTACATTTTTCCCGTTTTATAAACCCTGGTAGAAATTTTCGCTTTTTTTTTCCGCCACTCATCTACACCGATAAACTACATCGTTCACAGAAGAAAAAGAGAATCTCTTCGCTCCTCGTCAATTCTTCCAGCATCTAATCCCGTTTTGCTAGTAAGAGTCACGTGCGTCAGATTGTCACGTCGCGGACTTCCGTCCCGGGTAAAAGTTTGCGAAATAGAAAAGTGTCTTTAGTCGAACGATATTACACCGAGTCTCTCATACGTTTTGATAAGTTTCCAGAAAACTTCGAAATCCAAGTTACGTAACCCCCTGCTCCTCTAGCCGAGGATCTTCGAAGATCAATGACGAAAAATGAAGTAAAAAGTTTGAATTTAATTTTTCAATATTCAAATCGTACTATCCCCTCTCCCCTGTCAGAATCTACAGTCACCTTTAAGGTGCCTCCACACAGCTCAGCCACGTGTCAGAATATTCCCAATGCGAGACGGACACGTCGATTCCCCATATTCGATTTCAATGTTTGGCCAAGTTGCGTTACTCCGATACAGCATTGTGGTTCGACCACTAAACCGTAGATGGCAAACATTTGTCTCTGGGCTGGCAAATCAAACAAGACGGTTCTGAAACGTCCTGTACACGTAGATAGTGTTACCTGATATCGAAGTCGTGTAGCAACACTATCAACAGAGAGATTCACCCGTAGGGTATCCACACCCGATAGAATGCCCGGAATGTCCATTAATCACGAAACCATCAACATGTACAAAACTCAAAGACAGAAACTGGAGCGCCGAAGAATTTTGGTACTCGCTACTACAGGAGGACCAACCCACGAAACATAAAGTCCCGTCCTCAAGGGTCTACACGTGTTGGGAGAATATGGTGGGAAAGTAACAAATCGCCACGTTCATTACCCACCATTTTTTTAAAACCCCCCAACGAAGCTCCCTACCATTTCCCTTTTCTTCCCATCAGTCTCGTGGGAGTAGAGGGCAGCAGACGGGACGGCACAGAATTGACTTTGAAAACCAGGCCCGTACCTTGCACGATTCCCACTAGGCAAACAGTTAATAAATCCCCTAGGTTTTTGGCTTTCCTCGCTTTTTTTTTTTCACACCCTTCACTTTTTATCTCACGTATAAACACGGGCTCGACTGCTGGCAGAGTGATGTTACTCGGTAATACGCAGGTGAAATAAAGTTGAAAATTTTGAAAAAAATTATTTGCCAAACTTTTTCCATTTTTTTTTCAATTTTTTTTTTTATAAAATTTTCAATATACGACCCGCCTGTGCATTCGTGACTTTGTCCCGGGGGAGATTTTGGGATTTGAAAAGGTGTCGGAGGGTCTATAAAGACAGCATAAGCCAGTATATATAGGGTGTGTCAAAAGTGGAGAGCCTTGGTGAGAGTAAACACTCGTCACGTACAATAATTCCATATCCCATACGTTCCGGAGCGTCGGGACGCCTCGCGTCGACGCGTTGCCATGTTTTCCTTGGCTTTATTGTGTCAAATATTAACTTTGAAATGTGCGCCGCGTCTGCGAGAATTTCCACGTGTTTATCTCAGACTTACTCCCGGAGTGTTTGCTCGGTCCATTCGTTGCACGAGATTCCTACGGCTAATTGTCCTATCTGGCCTGCACGTGGGTACCTAGGCGATGCTTTCATTTGCTTTGAGATTAAGGAAGCCGCTTTGAATCTCATGGAAATTACGTTTCGAGCGGATATATCACGCAGATCTTTCGTTAAATTATTTAAATAGACATTCCTATGTCCGCCACTTGGTTGTAGAGTAAAATTAAATAGTAAAAAATTTTTTTTAAAAATATCTCCGGAAGTCCCACATAAAAAAAATGTCAATCTTATCTCAATGCTACATAAAGAAGATGGCACGATAATAGCATCCACCATGAAAATATAGAGATAACTCGTCGACTGTAATCCCCAAGAGTTACAGGGGATTCCTGAGCTAGTCGCAGACTCCTGACCAAGTGGAGACAATGAGGACCCGGCGAAGGAGGACAAGTGTATACGTACAGTATACAGGCTGTATATATATGGTATGCAAGCATAGTGCTTCAAGTATACTCGTACTATAGCATATACAGTGTCTTCCAGTAACGCCCGTGGCGTAGAAAAGTCAACGAGAGTAGCTGGAGCCTCGTGTCTAATACGTTTCCTGTGTTCGTGAGGAACTTCAGGTGGGGGGTTGATGGGAGGTTGTCTACCCTTTTCTAGTATACTCGGTGCCAGTAGTCCGGTAACTCCTACCATTTCTTCATGCCAGTTGGCTGGTCGACCAGCAGCTGGTCTGTTCCAGGACTGACAGACCGTATGTATCTCGACTATGAGGTAGGTGACTACAGAGGGTCTGTCTGTTCTGTCTTATTGGACGGCGACTTTGCATCCCCCTGGAGATAGGCAAACAAGGACCGGTCCTGGTGAACCTTTGTATCGCGTCGCACTGACTCTGGTTCTTGGGTAGAATATTTTTTTCAATTTTTCTTTCTCCACACCCTTGTAGGGCCGCGGTCCATGTGAAGTATAGGAAGAGGTGGTAGATGGTG